GAAATATGTATGTATGTATGTATGTATGTAGGTAGGTATGTATATATATTAAAAAAATTAAAAAATACCAATGAATTTGGAGCAGATTTCAATCAAGACTTTATCAAAATCTTGTAAATTATGTCTCATACATAGTCCTTCAATAACCATATATGTATGTATGTATGTACGTATATATAAATTTTATGTTGCAATAACCAAAAACTTACATATAAATGATACAATATTTTTAAAAGCGCCGCAGATCAATATCTTTAATAGGCCATTGGAAAACATTGTATCATTTCTCCGGTCTGTTTTGATTGTCACTATCTCATGATGGGACACAGCACAAATAAACTTGTGTAATTAAACCATACGACTTCTTAACTCTTGCAATTTGTTATAAGAGAAGATTTCAAGAATTTAGCTTATGTTGTCCCCCACTTTTGTACTAAATGGCTTATCTAAATGAATGAAGATGATTATTTATCCTCTTCATTTAGATTTTTTTTTTGCCTATTTTTTATACAATCTTTATGCTTAAATTCATGTTAAGTGAGCATTGAGCTTAATCCTTACATTAAAATCTTTCATTAAAAAAAAAAAGCAAATCATGATTGTTAAAATCGTTTAAATTAAACAGACCGTTATTTTTATTATGATTGTTAAAAAAGACAAATATTCAACGTCCTTCTTTATATGATTATAACATAGATATCTACATGGAAACAGCTCATTTTCTTCCTTGGAAACATTCAACCAATCACTCTCCATTTCAAAAAATAAAAAATAGAATAAAATAACAATAAAAATTTGAAAAATTGCATTATTCTTAAAAACATTTAATTAAAGCACGTCGAGCTATTAAAAGTTTGATAAAAAAATTTGGCTCCTAGCTCAGCTGGATCGGAGCCAAAATTCAAATCAATTTTCGAGCGACTACGATCTTAGAGCTAAATTAACTAAATTCAAAGGCATAATATCACCCGGGTTGTTAATGATCTGATTTTTAGCCGAGCTTGGGTCGGCTCGAAACAAAATTAGTTTAAAAATTTTGGCTGATTTCTTGGCTCGTTTATTTTGATCCGATCTCAATCCGAGCCTAAATTCAAATAAAATTTCGAGAGATCAACGATCTTCGAGCATATTTTATAGCCTTAATTGCACGAGAACTATTACCTATTTCCTGTTGGACCCCATAATTTTCAACTCAACTCCAATGCTATATATATCCCTCATCAATCCAGCCATCCTCATATCTCACACACCATCATAAGAAGAAAAAAATAAAGAAAGAAATTGAAAGGAAGAAGAAGGAGCAGACATGGGTGGTGTTGAATCGGCTCCTCTCCTCCCATCTAGTTGATATACAAGAGAAGAGCCGAATCAATACCACTCTTGTCTACTTCATTCTAAGCTCTTCTACACCCTCCTCAGTTTTCTGGATTTTGTTTTTCTTTATTGCTGGTTCTATACATATCTAAAACGTATTTTTATCTTCTTGTTTTGATCTTTTAATCATTAATTACTAAGGATCTTTATTTAATATTTTTTCCTTTAGAAAGAATATTACACCAGGACTCCGCATGCAGAGCTGCTTGCGGAGTTCAATCTCGCGCTGACATGTAGAAGGTCGAAAACGTGCAACCCGGCCCAACCGATGCGTTATAGGAATATTTCATCGCATAAAAATATTCCTTGGCGTTATTCTAAATATTTTTGCGTTATTCATATGTTATTGGTGTGTTATTAAAGGTTTGAGAATATTTCGTCGCGTTATTCATTTGTCATTTAATGTGTTATTCAATCCGTGTTATTGGAATATCCTCTCGCGTAATTCTGAATATTTTTCACATTATTCATGTGTTATTTAATGTGTCATTGATGTGTTATTTATGTGCTATTTGTGTGTTATTCAGGGTTTATGAATATTCCCGCACTATTCATGTGTTTTAAAGTGTTATTCTCAAAATCATCTCAATAACACACCAATAACACATGAATAACGCGAGAGAATATTCCTATAACACGTTTTCATTTTTTCTTATTTTTTATGTAGGTGAGCCCAACCTTATATGTGTCAACACGAAATTGGACTCCGCAAGCAGCTCTGCATGCCGAGTCTTGATGTAATATTTTTTTCTTTATTTAGCTTTGTCTAATTGGAGAGCAAGAAATATTTTTTCTTTGGCTTTAAATTTCGTTTCCAACAACTTCATGTTTCAACTTAAATTATTTGTCGTTTGGCAGCTACTTGAATTTAATTCAATTAAATCTTAAAAACTGTTTGGCAAGGTATATATTGAATCTGATTGAATCTGTCAAAATCCTACAGAACTGTATGAAAAGTTCTTTTAGGATTTAAAAACCATTTAGTTCAACTTAGATTACGTGTTAGTTACTTTTAACTATAGTAATTATTGTTAATTAATGATTTATTAAGTTAACTAATTTAAAATTAGAATTGCTTTAGGGTAATTACTCATTAGTTAATAGTTTATTATTCTTGATTTAATATAATTTAGTTATAGCTAGTATAATATAATATTAAAATTAAGCATGATTACTCATGAAATGATGACCAACAACCTAATAATTAATCATTTATTCATCAAAATAAGTATTTATCAATCATAATTGTACTAAACTAATTAACAAATTTTAATACTTTAATATTTTTAATTAATTTTAGTTAATTAGTTACTAAACTAATTAGTCATTAATTAATAATTTATTAAGATAATTAATCATTAATTAAAAATGCATATTTTGAATTATAGATATCTATAAGTCATTAATATAATTAAATAAAAAAATTATTAATATAATTGACTTAATATATTAACAATTTATTAAAATAATTAGTAAGCTAATTTAAAAATAAAAATAAAAAATCTTCTTACTTACTCTTTTCCTCCAACTAATATTAAGTATTGAATCTGCACAGACGGATTGGTGGTATTTGATGGTACTGTGTTTCACCCTCTTTTCTTCCTCTTATTGAAGCAAGCGATGTGATCATGGTGATGGTGGGGAGCTCACTAGAAAAGGTAGTGACAAATCATGACAATCAAAACTAACCCTCAATATGTAAGAAGCTAAAGCAGTAGCGTCGGAAATTTTTATGTGTTGTGCTATAGCTATTATGATTATAGTCCTATTACTTGCAGAATATTATAATTATTTTAATTTAAAGTATTGCTCCTTATTATGATTTTATAAATGTCATGCTATTTAGCTCTACTTGTTATAATTTATTGCAGCTACTGGATTCTACTATATCATGCCAGCTTCATAAATTATTATGTGATATGTCAGGCATGACTCATATACCAGATAAGGGACAAATGTTGGAGAAAAGCGGAACATTTGTCCAATTGAGGGAGTTTCGTTACGTGGGATGGGGGTGCAGGGGCAACGCCCCCTTTGTACGGTACAGGATAATTTTGTAATTACATATTATACACTAGGGTTATATATATGTTGTATTTGTAACCCTAAGTGAATGTACAGTTTTCAAGAAATCAAATAGCCATAACCGTTCCTTGCTACCGAGGGCGTGGGCATATTGTCAAACCTCGTTAAATTCTTCTGTTCTTTCTTGATTGTCCGGTTCTTGATTCTTGTGTTTGCTTTGCCCTAATTTGTCGACATGATAGCTATTATGATTGTATTTAATTTTATTCAAAACTTGCTAGCTCAAATCAGTTTTGAGACTTATCTAACATGATTAGACATGTTTGAACTTTGTACAAGTATAATTTGAATCATTTTTCAATCATATTTAAACGTGTATTTCAAACAAATTAAATGGTTTTAAAAGGGATCAAATGAAGTTTGATCACTTGACACTATTTTTTGAAAAAGCTTCAATCTTATTTGATTAATTAACATATAGAATATTATTAAAAGATTTTCCATGGACAGCCTACCATAAATCAAACAAATCCTAAATAATTTACACATATTAATAAATAAGAGAAAAGCAATCAAGCAAGCACAAAATTTAAATAATAGTATTTTGTTGTGATGGAATATGAAAGAATCAATTTAGGCTAATAAAGTTCGATCGATTAGCTTGAAACTTCTAAAAAATAAATAGGGTAGCTACCTCTACTTATACGTATCCAAATCTTAATTTATTTAAATTTATAATATCAATGTGGTACAAGCTCATTTTGGAGTATTAAAAGTTTAAGCTATAGTCTCTAAATGTTGTTATAATTCGAATGACAAAAAATTACAAGAAAAAAAAAACTACTAGCATTGAAAATTCCTTAAAGAATCATCGTACACACACTATTGGGGGTAGAAACTAAATAAAAACCAATTCCCGAATTTTTTTAGGGAAATTGATTTTTAATGAATTATTATTTTCTATTTTTCCACATTATCCCTT